CTATAATTGTTTGTAGTCAGTTATGTTTTTTTTTCCGTTTCTAGTGTTACATAGATTATATATACTGCATATCTATGCATTTACCCCAACAACCATTATACTCATTAATGACATACTTATAAATTAAAAACCTACCAAATTCATATGATTTGACTCGTGATAATCTTTCAAATTCAAAATAGTTAGTTGAGTATAGTTCAACTGGTTAAAGTATATATCTCCGATCAAATGGTTAAAGTATATATCTCCGATCAAAAGGTTGTGGGTTCAAATTCCTATACTAAGTGCTAAAAAAACTTAAAATAGCTAGTTGTTATCATATGGACCAATTAGTTTTTTACGTAAATTTAAAAATTAAAACATAATAGTTAAAAATTGACAAATGAGCTATAATAAAAATAAATAAATATGGTATTTTAATAAATAGAAATTTTTTTGCTATATTTGCAATTATAACAACTTTCCGATTTTGCAAATATGACAAAATATGTTTAAAATAAAATTTTTATACTTCATATTATATATATCAAGAATTGGTTACCACTGTTATAACTAATATGATGACTCATATACTTGATATTATGTATATTATAATTGATATACTAATTATAAAGTATAACACTGATATATCTGATATATGATGTATATAATTGATGAAACTGATTTACCTAATATGAAATATATCAATACACTAGACATATAAATGATATACTTAATATTAGATATATCACTAATAAATCTTTTTCAAGTTGAAATTTTTTGTTTAAATAATTGTAGATTTCTTATTGAYGTATCAAATATATGAATGAGATACTTCATTTTATATATATTACCAATATAACTGACATATCTAATATGAAATATATAAATTACCTTAAATATATCAGTGCTCTAACTTCATTTTAGGTATATCATTGATATGATATTAGGTATATCAATGTGAGAGATGTTACCAACTTTTTCTTCATTCTTTCTTCGTTTGGGTTGTGCCTCTGCTCTTTTTTTTTAATTTTTATTTTGCTATATTTACAAATTATAAACGAACTTTTTTTTTTTGCTATATCTACCCGGCCGCTGCCCGAATAAATATAATAGTTTAGGACAAAAATAAATTTTTTTAATACTAAAGACAGAGAATTCAAAACATAATTAAAAGATTCAAGACACCATAGACTTTCACAAAATAAAAAAGTTATACATATAGAGAACAATATATTAAATTAAAAGTATATTATAATATTGGTTGGAATGTAGAGGTATAGGACCAATAAGAACTGAATTTAATTATTATAGTAATAAATGAAATATTGATTAAAGTAAAAAAGATATAATAATTAGTTGGAGAAATAAATGAATGGGCATCATAATCGAGATAAAGGATAAAGATAAATTAAAAAAATAAAAGAAAAAAGAATAATATATAAAAGAGAGAATAAGCAAAAACCAAAACCATGGGTGATTGGCAACTAGCAATCCACTAACTCACACTTCTTTGGAAACTATGGGTCTCATCTCTCTTTCCAATGTTATTATTTTTTAAAAGATCTTTTATTTATTTTTCAATAAGCATCAAAGATTTAAATACTACTTTATTCCCATGAGCTTGACGTGAAGAAGGTCTTTCTTCATGGAGACCTTAACAAATGGGTTTCTATTCGTTTTCCACCAAGTTTTTGAGTTCAAGGGGAGGAAGGGAAAGTTTGAAAATGAAAAAAGGCGATATATGATTTCATATATATCTCTCCTCGGCTCTTCGGACTTGGTTCAAGATATGAAGTTTGGTTATGATGAAGATCGATGGGTTATTAGAGAAGGAATTGATGTTTAATCATTCGGTATTCGATGCTTTCTGCAACGTTTTTTTTATTTTGATCTCTGTACTTTCAAACATACATTTTAGTCGGTGTTCTTTCAACTTTTTTTTTAGTTCACGTACTTTCAAAAAGTTTCTATTTCTGTGTATTCATTCTCATTTGTATCTCATTTCTTTTTATCACAAATTTAACATTGACACTTCACTCACTAATTCTTTTGAAATGTAGCCATTGATTTGTATTAAAGAGTTTCCGTTGTGTATAAAATTTCATGTTAAAATTTTAAAAATAGAGACCAAAATGATTATGTTTTAAAATTATAGAAACAAAAATAAACGTTTTGAAATATATGGATTCAAATGAATAAAAGTGGACAAGAATCAAAATAGACGTTTTGAAATTACATAGACCAAAATGAACAAAAATAAAAATTACAAAAGAATAAAATAATATTTAAAACAAAATAACAATGAAACTATGAAAATAGAAGGTTAAATTACAAATTTTGTCTTTAAATTTGGAAGRTCGTTGTCCAGAGAAGAAAAAAAAGATATATATACACGTGTCTAATAGGTCCTTAAAATATTCAATATTGTATCTAATAAATCATTCTAACTTTTTGATTTTTATTATCAATTAAATTTATGAATCTATTAACACAAATTTGAAAATTCTTTCATTTAAACATCAAAATTATAAATTTAGACACTTAATAAAGATAACTCTAAAATATGAAATTAGGACCCAACTTATAATTTGACCTAAAAAGAATCATGTTTTCTTTACTCTTACAATGTTTTAATTCTTTACCTATTATTTGTAACTATTTTAAATATTTTACTTTTAGAAACATTAATTGAAAGAATAACGTGTAAGACTCTTGACTTTATGAAATTCAAACATCTAATTTTTTATCAAGAATATACGTCTTATATGTATATATATTTAACTTGTTTTATATATATATATATATAGACACACACGTCTTAACCAATTATGTGTATATATATATATATTTATTTATTGTTGGACCTGATTTTGAAAAAAAAAAGAAAAAAAACTTATTTCGTAGGGTAACATCAAAATTCTTTTTTTTTTCTTCTTTTGGTGTTTAAATCAAGCAAATATTGGTGTAGAGAAATATATATAACCAATCACATGAATATATTTGATCGTGAGCTTTGAATAATTACTTTTGAAGTCAAAATATTTTAATTATAAAACTTTTAAGTAAAAAGTACTCGGTAACAAATCCTTTACTAATTAATTGGTTAAATTACAAGTTTGGTCCTCTAATCATGAAATTTGAAATAGAATAGAGATCAAATTCAAATTAAGTTCAAACCATACCAACTAAATTTCATTTAACCTTAACCTAATTTTCAACCAAACTATAAAATAATTTATTTTAACGTCAAATATTTATTTTATAAATAAAATGACCAAATTATAAAAGAATTTATTTTAACGTAAAATATTTATTTTATCAATAAATCTTACGTTTTATGATAATACTTTTATTAGTAGAAAAGAAACTAATACACTAAAGATTAAGACTTAAGAGAAAAAAATTATATATTTAACCCACAAAATATATGATTAAAAAATGTTTCAAAGAACGCCCATGGTCGCCAGCCAACTTGGACCCGGGTCACTTTCCATCAAAGAACCCATTAATCATAATCCACTTTTTTATTCATATAAAATAATTCTACCAAAACTACCATATAAAAAACAATTGATATTATTAAATTTTAGTCCTAGATTTTTTAATATGTCGACAAATTCGACATCGAAATTTCCATAAATCGATACAAATTTAATAAAACGAAGGTTTAAATATCTTATTTTATTTTAATAGGTATTTATAAAGTAAATCAATAATGATATATTTACATAAAAATGCATAAAATAAAAACAATATGATGTTATTTTCATATATATATATACACACATGCGCGCTAAAATTTATGACTTCAAATAGTTGACTCCAAAACTACATGAACTATTGTTTTGTGTTATATAAAGATTTTTAGTGTAGGTGATAGGAACGAGTTTGAGATGTCGCTTGACAAGGAAAAACTTGTCTTTTAACTTGTATATATTTAGGCTAAAATTTATTGACTTTTTGACTCCAAGCTATAGAAATATTGTTTTGTGTTGAGGAAGGTTTTCAGTTTAGGTCGAAACTGGTTGAAGTAGGTGGCAAGAAAACGAGCTTAGGCATCACTCGGAGAGGAAAAACTATAGCTAAAATTTATTGACTTCAATTAGTTGACTCCAAACTATAGAAACTATTGTTTCAGATCTAGGTTGAAACTGGTTAATGTAGGTGATACGAACGAGCTTGAGTTTCACTCGACGACAAAAACCTGCATAAGAAGGAAAAATTCCAACTCTCAAGTCAATATTAGTTCAACTTTGATATTAAGATGGAACTAGGATTTGATACATGATTTTAGAGTGGGACGTCCTATTTATATTAATAAGTTAATTTACGTTCAAGTTGGCGGGATTAAACTGAATTTATTTGATACAAAATTCCTAATTTTTTTACACCAATAAAAAGATTTTAGAAGATGATTATTGACTGTTGGAAAACTTTTTCAAAAGTCTAACGATGTAAACAAAATCTTCAAAATATCTTCACTCTCATTCTGTTTCACAACTAAATGTTCCGTAAAATTATATCCAAATCCAAATCAAATGTTAAACAGTTCCAGTTGGACTCATTCTTTTAGGATACAAATAATTAGTTCGAGTACCAAAAGGAAATAAATAAAAATCAATTTATCATGTGAGGGGGAAACAAAACATCATTATCTTGATTTTCTTTGAAGCAAACAAAATATTAAAAATTAAAAAAGAAAAATTCATATAATTATTGGTGGGCCCCATTGACAAACCAAAATTTTAAATATCTCAAAAAGAAAAAACAAAAACTCAACGAATATATATATATATATATATATATATATATTTTTTTTTTTTGGCAGAAAAATTAATTTCTATTAAATCTGTTTACAATTAGAATACGGATTACCTTTTCCTTTTTCTTTTCCTGATAATTCAAATTATCCTTTTATTTATTTAATTAATTAATTAAATCCGTTTTATAGATTTTTCCTACTCCTCTTACGACTACGCTTCGTTTTTTTCCTTCTATAAATACCGTCTTCCCAATCTTCGATCTCCATATCCAATTCCTCTCTCTCTCTCTCTCTCTAATTCTCCGATCAGATTCGTTAATTACTTTCTCTCTCTAGAATTTTTTCTTCGATGGCTCCCAACAATGGCGGCTTGATCGTGAGTTTCGGCGAGATGTTGATCGATTTCGTTCCGACGGTTTCCGGCGTTTCCTTGGCGGAGGCGCCGGGATTCCTCAAGGCTCCCGGCGGCGCTCCGGCCAACGTCGCGATCGCCGTCAGCCGCCTCGGCGGACGCGCCGCCTTCGTCGGAAAGCTCGGCGATGATGAGTTCGGGCATATGCTGGCCGGAATCGTGAAGGAGAACGGCGTCTCCGGCGACGGAATCTGCTTCGATCAGGGCGCCAGAACCGCCCTGGCCTTCGTGACTCTACGCGCCGACGGGGAGCGTGAGTTCATGTTCTACCGGAACCCTAGCGCCGATATGCTGCTCAAGCCGGAGGAACTCAATCTCGAACTCATCAGATCCGTAAGAATCTCTCTCACTTTCCTTCACATTCCTTCGCCATAAATTTTCTCATTGATTGAATTTTCCCGGAAAATTTCCCAGTTCTTAAAGAAATTGACTGAATCGAGCGTTTTAATCTCACGCGCCAGTTTTCAGTCTCATTAGTTTGCCACGTCAGCTATAATAAAGTAGGGCCCCTTGGATCAATGGCCCTACTCATAGATCTAGAATAGCAGTGATATGATCTCAATGATGGGTAATTTCGGGATTTCGTCATAACCTGACTGAAATTCCAAATTTACCCGTCTATGTRATGACGTGGGCGCCCCCTCACGTGCTTGCTGGACTTTATTCTCACGTGTTGTTGTTGCTGGCGGAGGGCTCTCTTATCTGTCACATATTTTGCATATGAATTGAATTTAAAACATTGAAATTTCGATTATTTGATCTTATTGGAAAAGAAAAGTATTGACTCTGTATTTTAGAAATTGGGGTTTTATGATATTGAAATTGATGTTGTGAATTACCAATACGAATTAAATGAATTAATGATCATGCCCATAAAAAGATAATTGGTTTTATGGAAATTAAGTTGTTAGTTCGTCAACCATAATGATATAATTTTCCTCTTTCTTTTTTTTTCCCTCTTTTCTGCATTTCTGGATTGATTTATTATTTCCTTGCCGTATTCGGGGCGTGATATGGAAAAAAGTGAAATTTTGATTTAAGAAATGATTTGAGGGTGGGGACTCTGATTATTTAGTAACGTCACCGACTAAAAAGAAAAAAAAATGTCTTAATCTTCGCTCATAAAGATAGTGGTTCCTAGCAAGCCGCCGTGACGAGGGGGTGCGTTGGGTATTATTTTTCTGTTAATTATTTTATGGCGTTTTTGAACTTTTCAAAAATTTAAATCTTCTGACTTTGATTGAAAGCTAATCTTAGATTATTTTATTTAATTTTGTCTTCTGTAATCCATGCGTCACGTGCAGTAACACTTATGCCTTAGTATAATATTTTTGATAATTCATTGATATTAAATTCTGCTCAATTTGAGAAATTATTCGAAATTGTAATATGGGTTGGTTCTAGTATGATAGATCTCATTGGGTATTTCATCTAAAATTTGAGGAATTGTTGTAAATCAAAGAATCAAAATGTATGACTATAGAATTTGGGTTTGTGTAGGCGAAAATATTCCACTATGGATCGATAAGCTTGATCGTGGAGCCGTGCAGATCGGCCCATATGAAGGCAATGGAAGAGGCAAAGAAAGCAGGTGTTCTTCTCTCGTACGACCCAAATCTGAGGCTGCCACTGTGGCCCTCTGAGGATGAGGCCCGAAAGCAGATCAAGAGCATTTGGGACAAAGCCGATCTCATCAAGGTCAGCGATGTGGAGCTCGAATTCCTCACCAAGAGCAACAAGATCGACGATGAATCCGCCATGTCTCTGTGGCATGACAAGTTGAAGCTCCTCCTCGTCACTCTCGGCGAGAAGGGCTGCAAATACTATACCAAGGTACGCTCATTTTKATCTCTTTAAAATGTACTTATTGAACTTAGTTCATCAATACATCTTGAAAGAAATAGTCCACGCAAGGAATTTGAGAGGCATATTCATATGATATTGTTTGCTTAGTTGGTGGAAATTAACATAAAAACTATGATGGTATGAGCTCTGAGCTATACATGGGTTATAGTTCGATGGACATTTTGGACTAAAAGGGGAGTTTCAAAAGTATAGGGGCAAAATGGTAACTTAATCTTACTTTAAAATTCACTCATCGTTAGTTGAAATTGTGGACTACTGGTTGAAAACTTGCAATGGGTTGGTGACAATTCTGTTCAAATTTCACTGTCCCTGTTTGTGTTTGTCTAACTACCCCCAATGCTTTGAAACCAAGAGTATTTGATTTCTTTTTTCTGAAATTTAATGTGAATTAGATGAATGTATTTTAATTGATATGTTGGTTTTGGTTTGGTTTTTAAATTTACTTCTGCTCTGTTTTGATCCTGTCATATATTTAAGATCAAATTCAGTATGGTAACTTGAGCCAATGGAACTCAAAGCGCTGTCAAGCTTTTGGTAAATTTTGTCTTCATCTTCATAGAATATTTCTTACAACAAAAGCCTGGTGATTGGCTTCTAGTGGTGGTTGGATCAAGGAATTGCATAGCTGTTTCCTGATAATCCCTGTGTTCTGATAACGTCAACAGAACTTTTTGCACAGATCTGTTAGAGTTTTAGTTTTGGCATCTTTATCCATCTCAATATTTCTCTTTCCACTTTCCCGAGAAAATTTCACATACTTTCCCATGAAAATTTTTACACCTACCAAGTTTAGATTCCYGAGTAACGCACCTTTTTCATATGGTGGACATTAATTACTGTGGAGCCATAGAGTTGTAGGCCAGGTGTGGTTTTTGATCCGTAGGGTCATTGTGTCCATAATTTCTTCCTGGAAAATTACCATTTTTTCTTTCTAATCTCTTACCTGTCAKTATCATGTCTTGCCCATTGTTTCTTTGTCGAAAAACAGCCCAATTGCCAAATACTTGTCTACTGCTAGTTCTAGCATAGTTCAATCCGTCAAAATAGTTACTTTCTCTAAGATCATTACTTACCTCTCTGCAGATTAAAAATTTGAATCACCAACTATCAAATCACCAACTCCTATCTTAGTCGAAACAAAACGCAATTGTGAATGTTGAATCAGAATGTAAAGTTTGAAATGTTTTTTTGCAAAGTGCTTTATGAAGCAAATACTTCRATAGCATTGGTAGATAAGTGTTGAGATGAGTTTGGCATAGACTTTTGAATGATAAAAAGTATTCTTCTAATCAAGTAGAATAGAGAGGCAAACTATCGTTCTAATTCTCGTTTCACTTTGGCAAAAAATACAGAACTTCCGTGGCACGGTGGATGCCTTCCAAGTAAAAGCAGTGGACACAACTGGAGCAGGCGACTCATTCGTCGGCGCCCTTCTTTGCAAGATTGTAGACGACCAATCAATTCTCGAGGTACTATATCTTTTATAGTTATCAATCAAACGGGGTCTTAGAGTTGGTTTTGTTTGCTCGGGTTTTGAGAATGATATTGCGTTGCAGGACGAGAAGAGGCTGAGGGAGGTGCTGAGATTTGCAAATGCATGTGGAGCCATAACCACAACAAAGAAGGGAGCAATCCCAGCTCTTCCATCAGAGGCTGATGCCACAGCTTTGATCAAGGCTTCTTCTAAGTAGAAATCAGTTTCTTCTTCTTTTAGCTTTTTTTTTTCTTTTCTCTTTTTCCTCTCTTTGGGTTTGGTTTAGTTTTTTAGATTCTCATTCTTTTTTTCCAGGCATAAGTATAAAATTGTAAAAATAATTTTAGACTATATTTCTAGCATGATAAATACAGTAGCCTAATTAAAGTATGGTAAAAAGTTTCCATTTCAACTTTTGACCCATAAATTTTTATTTCAGTACATTGCAACACTTGAATAAATGATGAGATTAATCTACTAGTTGATTTTTTTTTCAAGATTTGTTGCTAGTTACGAATATTCTCCTTAATTTGCAAGGATATCTCAAAGAGCGAAGAGTTTGTATTGGCTAGATTTGAATGTTTTGGTACTGGTCGGCTATGATCTTGTAACTAGTATAAACTTTCAAACGTACATCTCCAATATCATGCAACCTTTGTAATGTCATCATTCCTCATTAGTAACATACTTATAAAATAAAAAACATATTAGTGACAATTATTTAAGTCAACTATTAACTTATAATATATTTTTTGACAAAAGAACCAAGAGTTTGTCCCACCTCTACCTATTGTATCAAAAAATATATATAATATTTTTTAAAATGTTATTTTTAAGTGATTAAAAAAAATACATCTTTAATTTACAATTAGTAAAAGAAATAATAGTAAATAAAGCTACTCATTCAAATTTTTTTCCTATCATATATTCACTTTGTATTTTTTAGACCCTATCTCCCAAGTCCATGTTATTCTTACTCATATAGTCAACATCTTCCTTGAATTTTAATCGATGGTAGGACCATATTCACATCTTTAATTATTAAGATGAATGATTAATTAGTTTTTTTATGGAATCAAAAAATTAGAAAATAATAGTTAAAAATTGACAATCAAAACAAAATAAATAGGGTATCTAAGAAAACATTTCCAAACTTCAAATATAAATTCTTTGTGGTTTTGAGAATATGACAAAAAATTTTAAATCAGATTTTTGTTTTCTCGATTTCGGCACTTGTTACTATAACACACTGATATATCTAATGTATCTAAGATGACGCATCTACTGACTGATATACCTAATATTAATATATGAATGATATACTTCATATTGGATRTATCACTTACAAATCTTTTTCGAGTTGGAGATTTCAGTTTAAGYTAGTAATGGCAGGTTTTTTTATTGATATATCAAATAAATTAGTGGGATATTTCATTTTAAATATATCATTGATATAACCATTTTAAGTGCAAATCATTGATATAACTGAATATATATAAATAATTTATTTTATTTTATTATTATTATAAAGGAAAAATACAGAGATACATAACGGTTAAAAAATAGTTAAATAAAAAAAAACAAAAAACAAAAAGAAGTTTCAACCAAGGACAATATTATATTTAGTGGAGGTATACAAAAAAAGTTTTATAGAATTAGTCCTACATAATGCGAAAAAAAAAAGATGAACCAATAATTACAAGTATAGAAGGAAAGTTTATAGGTCAAATTTAATCCTCGATGATGCAAACAATATAGATGCTTGAATTGAAGCTTGGGCGGATGGTCATAGTGTGTGAATTCTTTAGTGTTTGAAAAGTTTTTGAGTTAAAAAAAGACTCGAATTAGAAAACTAACTTATGGTGACTTGACGTGCAAGAACGAGAGATGTTAAAAGTCAATAAAGATTCGTAGACTTGCGAATTCAAACAACAACCGATGGCCCCTACGATAGGTAGTAATAGATACCTTAACCACTTGAGCTATGTTTAGTTTGGCCTTTTCTACCACACTTTGGTAACACACTAACAAATCTAATATTATTTGTGGTTCAAAGAAAGCAAGCATGGTTCATATATATATAAATTAATTTTTGCATGATTTCTATTAATGTAGGTATAATATACCATTTTAACTTTGGTTTATTTGAGTCAATCTACTCTCAAAATGTTTATTTTGGTTCCTCTCCTTTTAAAGAAGGATCATTTTRGTTATTTARTTTTATTTTTAATCTCACTTATTCCATCATAATTTCAACACAACAATCCAACTTTGTTTGAGGTGTTTTTCAACACACACGTGACACGTATTGATTGGATAATGAAAATCATACATGGCTTTGAGCCTCAAAGAATTATTGCCTTGGCCTCGTMTCCCATGACCGAGCCRACCAAGCTCATTTGAAATCATGTTCCCATTCATTGGTTGAACCGATTAGCTTACCCTCAGCTCAGCCCCGGTCTCCGACAGACTCCACGACAACACACCACGATTCTTGACAACCTTAAAGAGTCATTGAGGCCTTGTCGGGAATACGATCAGGGATCTTACCGATAAATAGATCTTATTTCACCTCGATCTCAGGTACGCGAACATATCCTTTTTCTCTCTGAGAAGTAGCTTGGATTCTTCCTGACTTTGGCATCGAAGTGATCTCTATTTTGCAGGTCACTTGTCCAGTAGATTCCAGCTTGTCCGCCAAGTTAGCCTAACTTATGAGCCGAGGTTCGTAGCTTGGTCAAATTCTTAATCAAACACACTCAATATATTTGTTGAAATATAATCATGACTTTATATTAAAAGTTTCCGTTATGTGTAGAACTTGTCTGAAAATTTTATAAATAGGGACCAAAATGATCACATTTTAAAATTACAAGATCAAAATGAACACTTTTAAAAATATAGTGACTAAGATAAACTAAAGCTAAAAATTCAGAGACCAAACTGAACATTTTGAAACTACAGGGATCAAAATGAACAAAAACTGGAAATACAGGGACCAAAATAATATTTTAACCTATAATATAATTCTATCACTCAATCTCTTAATTTGCTTTGAATTAAGAAATTTTCATAGACATATACCAAAACAAAATTGAAGTTGTTCGGTTTAGAAAGAGTACAAATAAAGTCTCACATTGTCTAGGGAAGGGAGTGATCATGATAGACGAGGACAATTATCTTATTTAGTATAAGATCTTTCGAGCGAAACCAAAAGCACCCACTGTGGTAATATTTGAGCTACCGTTGTCCTTTAACAAAAGTCAAGTAAGATTATACAAGTTGTTAAGATTTGTTGGATTGATGTAATGGAATTAATTTGTTGCATCTCAAGATGCAACAACTCTAATTAATTAGCTAAAAGATGGTACTCTTTAACTTTATAAAAATCATTATTTATAATTTCACAAACACATTTGCTTCCTTTCAAAGCTATCCTCCTTTTCAATTGTTCCATGATCTCCTTTAATGTTATTTATATCCAAACCTCTACTTTCTCACCTAATATCTTAATCTCCTTTTGGGAGAAAAAGATTAGAACATGATTTCTTTTTCTTTTTCTTTTTCTTTACTCTTTCTTTTAAGCCCATATTTTATTTTATTATTATTATTTTTCTTTTTGGGTTTAGGCCCAATTTTTATAAATATATGGATGGAGTTTTTTAGGAGGAAAAAGTTATTAAAGAGAATAAATACACATATATACTCTATAAATTTAGATTTATACATGTATATGTGATAACTGTTGTCCTATGTTGTTTAAACTAACAATGATTTTTTTTAATGGGTTGGTGGTAAAAAATGATCGTATTAAAACCTAAAAAAAAAATAAAGTACTCAAACTCAACAAAACGAACAAAAATACATGTCGTGTTATACAACAAGACATCGTAAAGTGAGATGGAGCCAGAACTCTATCGGCGATGAGTCGACAACATTGGATATAAGATATTCAATAGGCTAGATGAATGGTTCCTTTTCTGTTATCGATGGACAACGGTGGAGCCACAGCAACACTTGACGATAGTGAGTAGTCGTGAAAGCCAAAATTTGACGATAGTGAGTAGTCGTGAAAGCCAAAACCATAATGACACGTTGTGGGACAAAAAATAACATTGATACATGGAGGAAAGAGGAAAGACGGAAGGATAGAGGAAAGTTGGAAGGACCAGGTCTCCCCTAAAGACAATCTAAGAGATGATTAACCTTCATACTTATCTGAAAAACTATATTGGAAAACCTCCATTCGGCTAAAGGTCTTACCTACCCCCAACTTATGCACCCGACAAGGTAACCTTTGGGACAATATAAGTAACCCGTCGGTCGAATGGCAGCTTGTCGGATCCTCAATCTTTAAATAGAGATGTTAATTTTCTTCACGGGGTCCCATCCCGTGGGGACCCGCCTAAATGGAGTGGGAAATACCCATTTAAATTCCCCATGGGGCTGGGATGAGGAAGTTTTTTCCTCGTCACCTAAATGGATATGAGGATGAGGAATGTTGACCGCCCCACCTCGCATTTTTTATTATATTATACTATATATATATATATATATATATATATATACACACACACGCTAAAAAATCTTGTTATCCCTTCTATACTTACATATACCAATAAAACCATATTCTTCTCTAGCCACCAAATATATAGAGGAGGATTAGACCATGTAAATAAAGTTTTTATCRTTGAAAATTAATTAATTAATTAGAAATTTTCTTAAAAAAATGTTTAATTTAAAAATAGTTTGAAAGTAAAATAATAAATGAGGAAAAGTCACCACGAGGAACTCAATCCCCATGAATTCTCCGCAGGGAATCCCCACCTCGATCCCCATGAAATTTCGTGGGAAATTTTGTGGGGATGGAGAATTAAATGGAGGGTGGGGATGGAGACTTCCTCGTCCCTGTCCTGCCCCATGAACATCCCTATCTATAAATAGAGCTATTCACTCTCATATTAGGTATCACATTGTAGTTCGGTCTTTATACTAAGGTCGAACTTAAACTAACTTGAGCATATATTTTTAAAGAATGAAAAAAAATCAAAGATTAGGCAAAAAATTTTTAAAATGAAAAAAGAAAAAAAGAGAGAAAATTGCAAATTTTCTATATAAATATGTCATTTTTTAAAAAAGGAAAAAGAAGAAAACATATAATTTGGTGGGACATGTAAACTTTAGTTTAAATTGTGTAGCCGCACCCTTACTCTTTGAAACTTAAAAATTATTTTTAATTTATACATCCTTTGTTTTCTCTTTAGTCTAATTGTTAACTACAGCTATATTAATATTTTTTCAATAAATTATACTGTATTGATATCTTTTTTTTTCTTCTCTTTAAAACATTATTTTAAGATTCAATTGATTTTATTTTATATCATTTATAATTCTGATTTTGCAGAATTTAAA